GGCCAGGGCGGCGCCGGGGCCTGCCCGCCGGCGCGCCGCGGCTGGGGACCGCGCGCCAGCCAGGCCAGGATGAGGCGCAGGCCGGAGACCCAGAGCCGCGCCTCCTCGGCGCTGGGCGCCGTCAGGTCCAGCGTGCGCCGCGTGCCGCCCTCGTCGGCGTAGGCCAGGCTCCAGCACAGCGCCCCCGCCGCCGCGCCGGAGGGCAGCGGGTGGCGCCGGAACACCTCGCTGGCCTGGCCGGGGGTGAGGGAACCCACGGCACGCAGCGGCACCGTCTTGATGGACCCCGAGGCCGAGCGCCAGCGCAGCAGCGTGTCGCCGCCCATCAGGCGGAAGTAGTGCACCTTGGGGCGGCCATGGCGGCCGTGCTTGAGCAGCAGGGTGCCCTGGTTTGGTTGCAGAGGGGGAGGTGTGATTTGGGGGTGATGGGCGATGGGGTGATGGGCGATGGGGCGATGGGCAATGGGGTGATGGGCGGGGGCCATCGGGCGGAGAAGTGCAGGGCGGGGCCGTACATACGCAGCATGACTGCTGGCCACCTACACCATCACCCCTGTGCCCCAGAGCAGGGAGCCTCATCTCCCAGAGTGCATGGCATGGCACCCCAACAAAAGCCCTGATCGCCTGTCCGCTTGCACACCTTGCGCAGAGCAGTGAGCACCTCCTCCAGCGGGCGGGGCAGGCTGATCTGGAGGCTGTCCAGCAGCTCCTCCTCGCCCACCACCCGTCCTTCCTGAAAGACCGGCGGGGGGGGGGGCGTGAAGGTAGCGACTGTGGGGCGGGGGACGGCATCGACGTCCGGGAGCCCGAGACGGCCTCCCCGGCAATGACCGGTCCGAGACCGTGTACGTCCCCCCCCCTGGCGGTGTCGCGCGTGATCAGGTCCAATCAGCGATTCATTCCACCTCCACCATGACTCATGTCCATGATTGCCCTGCCTGTGGGCTCACCAGGATGGCATATCGCTCGCTGGCCATGTCCCTCTGTCACGGTAGGTGGGGGTCGAGGCCGGTGGGCATGCGCCCCGGTGCCCTACTGTCGTGCCCTGGCTTGTGTCGCTGGTGCTCACATAGCGTGATCATGGCCAGGGGAATGCGCGGATCGTGCGGCACAATGGCACCGGCAGCGAAGGGCCTGCCACTGAGTGATGCTTGAACCGGTCTTCCCAACGCGCCCCGTCGCGCCTTCGGCGTTTTCGAATACCCAGCCGGAAAGCTTCTAGGCGACGTCTCGCACGGTATACAATGTTCTAGTATTACAATCAAATCTCACGCATCCAGATTGACCCTTTGCACGGTCTTGGCGAGTGGGACGGGCCATGCGCCAATGGGCGTGGGCCGTACAGCGAGCACTGTGTGCGGGAGTTTCACCCGGGCCCTTTCCCGCCTGCCAAGGACGTCGGCTACAGAGTCAAGCTGTGTGAGACACACTGTATTTCTAGCGGACACCATGGACACCGACATGCCAAGCAGCCCCCCTGCCCGCTTGTCGGCCCCCTTGTCTCCCCCCGGCGTGTCCCGGACGTTTTACAAGCGCCAGCTGCCCTGCCCCCCCGCCATCGAGTTTTCCTCCGAGCAAGGTGGGCTTGGATTTGAGTTGGTCGAGGATTGCTCGCAGGTTGCCGGCTGGGGATCGCGGAGGGTGGGCCTGGGGTGGGTCAAAGGGTACATCCCTCCCCCCTGGTATGACCCTGGCCTTTGGACACACCAGCATGAAATTGCATCCAGGCTCCCCTCCTCCATCCTGCTGCCCGGCCATTCCACCCCACCCCATTTTCCGCCCGCTGCCCACAGGCAAGCACATCTTCGCCGGCGCGCTGGCCGCTGGCGGCGCCAACACCTTCTTCAAGCTGATCGAGCAGTTCCGCACGCAGGACGAGCCCGCCTTCTGCGGCCTGGCCTCGGTGGCCATGGTGCTCAACAGCCTGGCCATCGACCCGCGCCGCGCATGGAAGGGCCCCTGGCGCTGGTTCCACGAGGAGATGCTGGACTGCTGCCACCCGCTGGCCCGGGTGCGGGAGGAGGGCGTCACCCTGGACCAGGCCGCCTGCCTGGCGCACTGCAACGGCGCGGCGGTGGAGGTCTATCCTTCCGGCTGCGTCAGCCTGGGCACCTTCCGCGACATGGTCCGCGACGCCTGTGCCAGCGGCACCGAGCACATCATCGTGGCCTACTGCCGCGCCGACTTTGGCCAGACGGGGGACGGGCACCATAGCCCCGTGGGGGCCTACTCCGAGGCGGAGGACCTGGTCCTCATCCTGGACACCGCGCGGTTCAAGTACCCGCCGCACTGGGTCCCCCTGCCCATGCTCTACCGGTGCGGTCGCTGGGCGGGCTGCTGCAGGGTTGTGCTCGCTTGGGGCACCCGGCACCACCCACAGCCAGGGAGCTCGCCTGGGCCCCCCACTGACTCGCAGCCACTGCCAGCGCACTCCTCCTCCTGCTCCTTTTCCTCCTCCCCCGCCTCCATCCACCCCCTGCACCTACCCTCCCCATCCCCCAAATGTACAATCACAATGCATCCTCCCCCGCCCCCCCTTCCCCAGGTCTATGGCCCGCATCGACAAGGCCACCGGCCGCCCCCGCGGCTTCATGCGCCTGGGCCACCGCCCCCGCCTCGACTCCGTGCTCTTCACCCTGGACCTGAGGGATGAGGCCTGCGCCGCCGACGCCCGCGCCTGGCTGGGCGGGGCCGTGCGCGGCCGCGCGCCGGGCCTGGCGGCGGGCCTCACCCCCGCCTGCGGCTTTGTGGAGCCGTCCCAGGCCCGCGCCGCGGCGCGGCGCCTGCTGGCCGCGCTGGCCGCCGAGGCGCCGGGCCCGGCCCTGGCGCACTTCCTGGCCGTGCGCACGGCCGGCGCCAGCTGCCACGCCAGCAGCGCCTGCACCCAGACCTCGGCCGTGGCGCTGCTGCTGGCGGAGCTGCGCAGCATGCCCCTGCACGCGCTGGCGTGCGGCGTGGTGGAGCAGCGCGGGGGGCCGGGGTCGAAGACCGCGCGGCCCACGCCCGAAGGCTCTGGTGGGCCGTGCGCAGTCGGCACCGGGCACGCGACGCCTCCGCCCTCCTCGCCCATGCAACGGCGGCTGAGGCAGGCGGCGGCGGCGGGGCCGGCGCCGCCGCGCCGCGCGTGTGCTGCCGCTTCGGCCAGGGCGCGGCGGGGTGTGCAAGCCCCGCCAGCGGCGCCCTGCAGCTCGACGCCTCGCCCGCCTCGCCCGCGGTGGAGGGGCCGCTGGAGGCGGAGCGACTCGCCCTGGCCCTCCTCCTCGTGCCCAAGCTGGAGTGGCGGTCCAGCATCGAGAACGAGGACCTGCTCCAGGCGGTGCTGGATTTGGTGGACCTGTCGCAGCACAGGGTGGTGGACTTCGAGGTGAGATACCTCGAGTCCCAGTACCAGCAGCTGACGCTGGAGGAGCCTGCGGGGGAGGCACCCTTGGGGAAGGCGCTTGGCTCTGCGTTGCTGCAGCGGGAGACGGGTGGCGGGCAGCAGCGGCAGGAGGCAGAGCAGCAGGCAGCAGGGGAGACTGAGGGCCTGAGCGAGGCTCTCCATGGGACCCCCCTGGTGGGCCAGGATGCGGCGGGTGAGGGCCTCAGAGCGGTGCAGTAGCTGCATTTTCATCCAGTCATCCTGGGCAGCAGGCTTGTCTGACGAGGCCGCAGACTTGCAGTTGACACGGCCACTGCCTGGCCGTACGAGCCCTGGGCCATTGGCCATGTGGGGGTTGATATCAGTCGCATGCCTTTCCTCCCTCATCCATGAGCACCGACTAGTCCATGCGCCAATCCTTTCCTCATGTACTCCTTTTCCTGCACAGTACTGGTCTCTCTTCCTTCCATGCAGCAGCCTGTCCCACGTCCCCATCCCGTCTCTCGATTCTGCTGTAATGCAGCGTGCAGCACCAGTGTCCTTGCACGTCACCAACATCAGTGGGGTAGAGGAATGCCAGGGACTCCATCAGGCAACAGTGGCTAGCACACAGGGTTGGGCATGCCTGTTCTGAATCAGGCTTGCAAAGAGGCAGCGGCGACCAGCATCGTGGAAGCCATGCTGGCACTCAGGCGACCAGCACCCCACACCCGCGGTGCGCGTGAGCCATCCCAAACTTCCGCACCCCCGTGGCACCCCTTCACAGCGCGTACTCGTACGCGGGCGCCACCCCCTTGGACCCCGGGGATCCTGATCCTGTACAGGCCGCCATGGTGCTTATGCGCGCCCTCCCCCGTCTCCACGCGGGTGGTGACGTACAGGTCGCCCAGGTCCCGCCCGCCAAAGGTGCAGGCGGTGGGGCGCTGCACCGGCAGCGGCACTTTGTGCAGCACGGCACCCGACTCGGGGTGGTAGCAGGTGACCTCCCCGCTCTCGCCGTGCGCCACCCAGAGGTTGCCGTCGGTGTCGATGGTCATGCCGTCGGGCACCGTGGCGAGCCCGCTGGGCCGGTGCGTGACCGTGCGCCAGCTCAGCGCGCCGTCTTCGCCGCGGCGCATGATGCCCTGCTCGTCCGCGGCGTAGGCGCGCACCTCCTCCGTGGACGAGTCGATGAAGTACACCACGCCCTTGGCGCCGTCCCAGGCGATGCCGTTGGGTAGATGCACCTCCTCGGGGCTCATCACCTCCACCAGCGTGCTTCACAGGGGGCCGGGGCGTAGGCTATTGGGGGGAGGCTTGTGTGCAGCGAATTGTGTGGGTGGTCTGACCGCGCCGCCAGAGGCGTGGGCGAAAGATGCAGCGTCTGCGGATGCCAAAGCTTGCAGCCAATTGTGAAACTTTGGTCACATGCCTGTGCTCCACCTCCCCCTGCACCTCCGTATCCCTGCCGCTCACCTAGAGCCGGGGTCGAGTCGGTACTGCCTGCCACGCGCTCCTTTCCTCCACTTGTTGCTCATGCGGCCGATCAGGAGGGTCCCGGAGGGCGACACCTTTCCGTCGTTGAACCTGAAGCCCTCTGCAAGGAGGATTTGTGGTGTGAGCATGAGACGCATGTGCTGAGAAGGGGAACCAAAGGCAAAGCTGGAAGAGGTAGCACGCAGCCTGCTGCAGAGTCCACCCGAGGCCTGCAGGGATCCCCCAGCAGTGCATGGTGTCCGCCAGCAAATACCTCTGAGACCTGAACCAGCCCAGCAAGCATGCGAGGACAAGGGCATCCACAAGCTCAAACCCTGCACCTGTGCCGTGCTCTTTGGGTGTGGTGGCGATCGCCTGCTTCGTCACCTTGCGGCCAGGCACGTCGACCACCAGAATGTCCCTCTGTGTTGCCACCAGGATCTTTGTGGGGTCGTTGGTGGGCACGATCGTCCCGGTCGGCTCATCTGCTTTGATGGTGAAGTGTTCGCCAGTCTCCGGCTGGAAGCCATGGATGGTTCTGCTATTTATGTCCTGGGGTTGGTGAGGAGATTGAAGAGAGGATATGTTGGCATGTGGATCAAATGCACTGGTGAGTAGAACGCATGGTTGACTTGCTTGGTGTCCTCTCTGTGATCCCCGGCGGACCGCCACACAAGGAACATCGTAGTCACCGCATTGGGTCCCACTCGCACGCTCGGTGCCATGCGAGATCGACGAAACCCCAGGTGCCAACCGATGGCATTGACATCTCACTGACGGACAGTCTCGACACGAAGATAAACTCACCACGAAGTACAGGTTGTTGGTCTTGCCATCCCAGACGGGGGACTCCCCCAGGTCGCACCTGGCTTCCAAGGCAAGATCAACGGTCACCTCGTCCTGGGATGTTGCCATGCTGCAACCGATGGAGATGCAGTCGTGGTAGAAGTGTCGGAATGATCAGAGGATATGTTGGCATGTGGATCAAATGCACTGGTGAGTAGAACGCATGGTTGACTTGCTTGGTGTCCTCTCTGTGATCCCCGGCGGACCGCCACACAAGGAACATCGTAGTCACCGCATTGGGTCCCACTCGCACGCTCGGCGCCATGCGAGATCGACGAAACCCCAGGTGCCAACCGATGGCATTGACATCTCACTGACGGACAGTCTCGACACGAAGATAAACTCACCACGAAGTACAGGGTGTTGGTCTTGCCATCCCAGACGGGGGATTCCCCCAGGTCGCACCTGGCTTCCAAGGCAAGATCAACGGTCACCTCGTCCTGGGATGTTGCCATGCTGCAACCGATGGAGATGCAGTCGTGGTAGATGTGTCGGAACTCTTCGATCCGAGACTGCCACCCCATGACTCTATTGGCCATCCTTGTGACACCCATCGGCAGTGGGTCGCAGCACGCACCTCACATCCGCTGATGGGTGAGCTGAGGGTGTGACAAGCAACTGCCGGGCCCTGGGAGGACATATTGCGAACCTCATGGAGGTTGGGAGACCACTCGGCATCATGGAATGCTGACATCGCGGTGCCAACCCTGCTCGACCGGATGGCGGGGGGGGTGCCAGGGCCGTGGTCGAGACAGGCCCCACGCCCGGCTGACGGGTGCGTCCGGCCCCAGAGCTCGTGAGCGACGCTTTCATGGTGCCATGGACGCCTCGATGGTCCAGGAGACGGAAGGTGATGAGGATCTGGCGGTGTGCGTCAGGAATCTGAGCTTGACGCTGTCTGATGAATCCGGGAGCAAGAAGGTGGGGCGGTTTAGAAAGCATGGAGCTGGAAGCGGTGATTGCTTTGCACATGACCTGGGAAGCCGACCGATGCCAAGGTAGCTGTTGTGCACTTTTCACCCATGGGAACCGCCTCATGGGGCGGTGGGCCAGGGGGCTGCTAGGTCCATCGCCCTAACCCTCACATGATCTTGCAGGACGTATGCTCCGCCGGCCCTGCCCTTTCCCGCCCCCTCTAGCTCCCTCAGCTTCCACTCGCACGCCCTCTGCAGGTGCTGGACGACCTGACGCTGGAGGTCAAGCGCGGCTCCCTGCACATGCTCCTGGGCGCCAATGGGTGCGGCAAGTCCACCCTGGTCCGAGCCCTGGCCGGCCTGCTGCAGCCCGACTCGGGCACCATTTCCCTGGCCACGCCCCACGCCTTTGTCTTCCAGAACCCAGACCACCAGGTGGTCATGCCCAGCGTGGGCGCCGATGTGGCCTTTGGGCTGGGCAGGCACGTGTGCACTGGAGGGGTGGAGGTCTGGGGTACTCGGGTGTTGGAAGGAGGCCAGCCATGGCTGTTCTCCTGCTGCCTGCGCCCTTCAGTACCGAGCTGTCAGTCGTCACCTCTGGGGAAGTACAAACACTCACAAACACCCGCAGACCCCTCCCAAACACACACACAACATTCAACATTCCCTCAGGTACCCTTACCTGACGCATGACGCCGTGGACAGGCTGACCGCCTCGGCTCTGGCGGCTGTGGGGTTAGAGGGCCTGCAGGCCCGCCCCGTGTCCAGCCTGTCTGGCGGGCAGAAGCAGCGCGTGGCCATTGCGGGGGCGCTGGCGGAGCAGGCGGTGGTCCTGCTCCTGGATGAGCTGACCACGTTCCTGGACGTGGGCGACCAGCGCGGCGTCCTGGACTGTGTGCGGGCCGCGGTGGACGCCGGCGGCGGCCGCGTCGCCGCGCTCTGGATCACGCACCGCATGGAGGAGCTGGACTGGGCGGACCGGGTGTCTATAATCCGGGGCGGCAGGGTAGCTTTCACGGGCACGCCCGCGCAGGCCAGGGGCCGCATGGCGGCATGGGGCTGAGCGGGGTTGGTTTGGGGGGTTGTGGCCATCAGAATGCAACGATCGTTGCCACGTGACATTGGGACCTCAGCATGTAATCGGAGATCGCGGACCCGCTGTATAAGAGCCTGGCACCCCCGAGCCTCTGGCCCACTCCTGGCAATTTACCGTTCGTCTCGCGCCCAATCACGGTTTGAAGTGCCTGGTCTCTGCACCGATGCACTCCCCGGCCTATGACAAGCAAGACCCACCAATAGCCAATTCTAATCATTCTAGAGCGCATGTTGCTATTGATCATGACGGAGGACAGGGCATGTACGTGCAGTGAGACGAGCGCAATGTCGACGGGTGGGTTGCTCCCGATGACCGTGCCAGCGGCGCAGCGCTGCTCCCTTGCCGGCGTCTAGGACGGACAGGCGATTCCGACAGTACTTTAGCAAGAGAAATAAGTGCATTACCAGCCTTTTGGTTTCTCCAGCATGGAGGTAGGGAGGAATGATCCTGCGGCCTCTCAAGCCCAGTCTGGGGGTGCAGGGGTGCACTGCTTAAACATTGACACATGTTGCAAGTCCCCACTCCACTCGATTCCCGACATCACTCTGTTTCCCAACATTCTTGGACTTCAGGTGACACGGCATAATTTGCAAGAGCTCATGCCCACCATCCGTGATGCCATCGACCATGCCTCCTTTGTTGCTGTGGACTGCGAGATGACTGGCCTGTTTGACTACGAACCCAAGCCATGGTACCTGGACGACATGCAGACCCGCTATGAGGATGTATGTGGGGTGTGGTGAAGGGATGCTGATGGGTGTGGTTGGTGAGTGCATTGCTGCAGCTGGCTTGCATGCTCTTCCTGGCTGCTGGCTGGCCTGTGACCCGACAACTTGGACAAACCTCGCCGGGCCTGCCTGTGCACCGTTCCTTCCTATCAGATGTCCATCCTGAGCACCGCATCCGATGCCCCTGAAACAGGTCGCTGCCAATGCACAGAAGTTTGGGCTCATCCAGATCGGCCTGGCGGCCTTTGCCCCGAGCCTCACGGGCCTGGGTTGGGTTGCCAAGACATTCAATTTCTACCTCTTCCCATGCGCACTGGAGGGCACTGACCGTCGCTTCCTGTCACAGGCATGTGGTTGATTGAAGGGGGAGGAAGAATGGAAGAAACAAGCTCGGGATGAAGGGTCGCTGCAAGTTGCTGGGCAACTAGGCTTCACTGAGGCTGGGCTGGAAACCTGGCATGTGCATTCACTGCACCCTGCACGGCACCATTTGACCACTCAAGAGCTGGGGTAGATGCTAGGGCTATCCTCTCCCGTCAGGATGAGCCCCAGCTTCAGCTCAGTCCGACCACCATCGCTCACCCTTCCCAGGCCTCCTCCCTGGAATTCCTGTCTGGCTGTGGCTTTGACTTCAATAAATGCATTCGCCACGGCGTGCCATACATGACAGGTAGGGCGACTTCCTTCAGGCTGGAGAGGTAGTCCCCAACTGTTCCCCTGTGCACCGAGCATGGAGCTGGCAGCCACTGCTGGTGTCGACTCCAGCATCCCCGCCTGACCCCTGACCCTCCCCTCCCTTGCACTGTGCAGCTGTGGCCAGAGACGCGAGGCTTGCACGTGTGGCTCGAGAGGCCAGCGCCAAGGAACGTGCCTCCCAGCAGCCCCTGATCCAGCTGACGGCCCAGCGAGACATCGACTTCAAGGAAGACTTCCTCGCCCGCGTCAGGGACTGGCTGGCGGTGCGTCGCATGCCGGGTTGAATTGGGTGGGGTACGGTTGCACGTGCATGATGGCGTGCCTTGGCGAGGGTCTGAAGCGGTCTGTGTAGAGGCAGGTTCCATCAGACTCCCTAGCACCCGGGCCACAATCTCTGCCGTAATGCCATGCCCAGGCGCTCCGACTGTCTGCTTCACCCCACCTTCACCATGATGTGCAGTCCGACACGGAGGAGGCGCTGCTGCTGCCCAGCAGCAACTCTTTCCAGCGAGCGGTGCAACACCAGGAGCTGCGGCGGCCCCAGTTTGGGGCGCCCGACCCGCCCGGCTTCCATGTGGAGGTGGTCAAGGGGCCTAGCGGCTACAACCAGCTGCGGCTGGTCAAGGCAGACCCGGAGGTAGCGGCGGCGGCCAGGGCTGCCGCGACGTCCAAGGCGCAGGCTGACATCCATGCCGCGGCAGGTCAGCGACGATGGGTGAATGGGCAGAAGTTGAAGCTTCCTGGCCTTGCCTGAATGGGATCATGGAAACTCTTCCTTTATATGCCAGCGGCGACCAGAGTGCAGACCCAGCAGCGCTTTCCCCTTCGCCCTGCACACACCCTCCCATGCACACACAGGCTTCACGGCGGTGCTGGAGATGCTGAGGGGCGCTGGAAAGCCTGTGGTTGGCCACAACGCCTTCTTCGACCTGGCCTTCATCCTTTCCTCCTTCGCCACCCAGCTGCCCCCCAGCCTCCGGGCCTTCAAGGAGCTGGTGCGCGCCTGGTTCCCCGCCGGCTTCTGGGACACCAAGCACCTCGCCTGCCAGCTCCAGGCCGCGCAGCCAGCGGCAGCGCCGGAGGACACGAGCCTGGGGGCGCTCTATGCCGATCTGGAGGCCAGGGCCGCGGGCGGCGTGGCAAGTGATCCCGGTGAAGGGGGCCTCATCCAGACCGCGCCGCTGCCCACCGTGGGCCACAGCGTCACGTTTGATCGCTACGACGTGAGATGGGAGAGGGGGGTGGGTGTTTTGTTCTTGGGGGGAGAGGGTTGCCAGGAAGGGTGTGACATGGTGATGATGAAGCAGCTCTCGGGGGATGCTTGGCAAGTCGGGCCTGACAAATTTACCTTACACAAGTAGGCCCGGCAACTCCACCCACCCTCCCCAAGAAGCCCTCTCCACGCAACACTCCCTTACTCACAAACACGCCTCGTAGTTTGCGGGTGCCTCGATGCTGGCTCATGAGGCCGGCTACGACGCCTTCATGACGGGCGCGGTCTTTGCCCGCCTGGCCGTGCTGCTGGGCGGCGCAGAGACGGTGCAGGCGGCCCTCCCCGCCCTGGCCGCCTTGAGGGGGCGCCTCAATGTCACCAGGTGGGGGGGGTGGTGCAGGGTGGGGCCCGAAGCCCCAGGACCCCAGGTCGCTGCACTGATGCATTGCCCATGGGGCTCTGCCAGCGGACAGGGGGGTGGTTGAACTTGCATGGAAAGTTTGTCTCGCCAATGGGCCCTTGGGTCTGCGGAGCGAGTGTCGTTTGGAGGTTGCCCATGTGGTGATTGGAACGTCTGCATGTTCAGTAGTGAAGTCATGGATTCCTGCACGCCAATCATCCCACGGAAAGTCAATTGTCTGCTCTTCTCAGACCTGGTCTGCGACACTCCAGAATCACCCCCCCGCCTGCTCACCCTTGCCAGGTCTGACTACGCCTACATCAATCTGGAGGGTCCCGACCCCGAGCCTAGGCGGCCCAAAGTGCTGTGGGTGTCTGGATTCGAGGCCGGCAGTCTCACCGGAGGAAGCCTGGCACGGTGTGGTGACTGGCGACTGGGTTTCGCTGGTTGTGGTGTGCCCCTTTGCCGATGGAAATCATGGGTGCAGTGGGCATCTGGAGGTCATCCCGAGGCGCTCATGTGCGGCGCTGCCATTGCTCGCCACCGGTGATACCTCTGTCATCAAAAACTATCTCACCACATCCTCCCGCCTCGACCCAGGCGAGTGAATGCACATCAGCTGGGATCCACTCGCTCGACGGTGCTACGCAGCGGCTGCGATGCGCTTGTGGAATTGTTCGAGACCAGCGACGTCCAGGTAGGTTGGTCTTACATGGATGCTGGCGGCTGCGGTCCGAAAGAGGCCAGGTGTCTCGTGTGGGACACTTGCTCTTAGACCTTTGGTGGCATTCCTCCACTCAGCTGCTGAGAGGCAAGGCTGCAACCCCAGGTCTGACCTGACATCCAAACACAGGAAGCTTTGAGGAAGCTGCGGCAGAGCTTGAAGCCCTGGCGGGTCGACACATATGCTGCCTACGCTGCACACCGGGAAACACGGCTACTGGAGGAGGAGAAGGAATGGAATGCCGCTGGGGCGAGGGTGGGCAGCAAGCGGCCGCGCGAGACTGCAGGCCCATCTCCCTCGGAGAAGAAGGAAAGATCCATGTGTGCAGTCATGTGATGCAGCTGAAGACAGTAATCTTAGCAGTTTTCTCCCAACCACATCAATCTGTCAGCCTGGCTCTTTCGTTGCACATTTGCTCAAGGTGTCAATAACTATGACTTCATAGTTGAGGCGGGAAACTCATTCCGGACGAGATCCCGAGATCATTGTGCGGACCGCGCGTAGAATATTTACGCGGCGGTAACATCATCTTCTATCGACCCATCACGCAGCGGAACTCTCGAGTGAAATTCGCCTTTGTTTTTAGTATTAACACCAAAGATAACTAAATCTTAGCACTATGGCGCACCACACCTCACCCTCTTCCGGTGTGGGCAAGGTCCTCAGCGGCTGCGCGTCGGCTGTGGGAAGCGGTGTATCGCGTTGCTTCAAGGGCAGGAAGAAGTCCCACGTCGTGAGGAGTAATAGCGGTACCCAAATTCATGTGGACCAGGCTGCCGCGTTCGGGGAGGGAGCCCTGCGGTACAACCCCTTCGCGGAGGAAGTTAGGTCCCCTCGTGGCTCACCCCCACACAAAGGCTTCACGGCTCCGTCGCGGAGGAAGGAGACGACTGTGCCTCAGGCCAAGGCCTTTGGAGAAGGAGCACTTCAGCAGTGGCACTAGGCGACGGCATGGAAAGCGCTCGAGCAGTAGATTCCTGCTGGCCGCCATGGAGCTGGCCCCAACATCTCCTTACACATCGAGTACAGGCGTGTGTGATCCCCATTTTCAACAGCAGCCCTCAGATTTTCCATGTTTATGACCCTGTATTCACCTCTGGCTGTCTACGCCGTCCGGTTCAATGAACCAGGGAGTTCTCTAACAATTTGTTGTTGCATTTATGCTTTGTACATTCCCAACAGAAATACAGCATGACATTGGCCAAGCCTTGCAATCGAGAAAAAGGGTGTAGATGGCAAGCAGTGCACACCGTATTGAAAGGTAAGATTCAGTGCACATTGCACGGAGATGGGAGGGTCGCATTACCGGGATAAGGAGCTACAGCGGCCTCTGGACATCCGGCTCCATCCAGAGCGCCTCTATTTCCTCCAGGGTTTTCCCCTTTGTCTCGGGCACTGAGAGGGTTCACGGCGTGTGGAAAGAGGGATCAGAATCACGAGGTGCAGGATGCATGCTATCCCATGAGCCATCCGCTGTATAAGGCCCACAATCTTTGCAAGTGAGGAAGAATCCGGAGAGGGTGCCCGCCCACTCACCGATGTTGTAGATGGTGACGAGAGAAGCAACGCCGACGACGGCAAACACCAGGTACGTGGCTGCACAGTGAGTGTCTTGTGCTTTCTTGAGCTTCAAATGATCGTACAGTCCTGGCTGCACCGCAAATCGCATTCCCCTCGTCCTGCAGGGCGCCATTGCGGTGCACATGTGCACTCAAACCTGCGCCACCCACCGCGCCCCGCTCATTACCTGACGGCCCGATGCTCTCGCGCACGCTGGGCAGCGCCAGGCTGACGGCAAAGTTGGAAGAAAAGTTGGTGAGCGTGGCGAGCGCCATCGCCTGGCCCCTGACCTTGAGTGGGAAGATCTCGCTGACGATGAGCCAGGAGATGGGACCAAAGCTGACCTGCGGCACGCATGGGCGAGTGGAGGTGTGTGTGTCTGTGTTGAGGCACTCTTGGCAGGATGGGCGAGGAGTCAGGGGTCTTGGCAAAGACTTCCGTCTGTTCTGAGACAGCCACCTCGTGAGAGGGGGCCAGGGGCACCCGAGGCCCACGAGCATGCGCCCTCACAGCATGCCCATGCATGTCCACGACCCCTCGGCCTTGCAGCAAGGCACTGGTCCACCAGACGCGCACCGTCTGGTGCCTGCCATGGGCGCGATCCCCGGCCTTCCATTTCCAATCACACCCCTGGACCCACCCCGCTTTCACACACCTGATAGCAGCCGACATAGACGAGGAGGGCCGCCAGGTTGGTCCAGGCCACCAGCCCCGGGTCGATGGGCAGCGCCCCCCCCGAAGCCAGGGCCAGGCAGAGCAGGGCCCCCACCAGACCCGACACGCCCCACAGGAGGAGCGGGCGCCGTCCCAGTCGGTCCACGGTGGCCACGGCCACGCCTGTCATGACGAGCTTGAACAGGCCCAGGCCCAGGGATACGCCCGTGGCCTGGCCACTGGACTGGAAGCCTGCGGCCTGGAAGATGCTGGCGGCGTAGTAGAGCACCGAGGGCTGCCCCGTGACCTGCTGGAAGAGCATGAGCCCCGCGCCGATGGCCAGCGGGCGGCGGTACCGCGGCCGCGCTAGCTCGCGCAGGCCCAGGGGGTCGGCGCCGGCACGGGGGCTCTCCGCCTCGGTCGCCGCCTGCATGCCCGCCAGCTCGACGGCCACGCTGGCGGCGCTGGCGTTGCGGCCCTGGGTGCGGTGCAGTGCCGCGGCGGCCGCGCCGCGCCCCGCGCCCGACAGCAGCAGCCAGCGCGGGGACTCCGGCAGCCAGGCCATGCCCGCCGCGAGGGCCGCGGCGGGGGCAGTCGCGGCGCCCAGCATCCAGCGCCAGCCGCCGCTGGCGTCCACCCAGGCGTAGCTGGCGGCGTAGCCGGCCAGGATGCCCAGCACCACCACCGCCTCCTTCAGGGAGATGAACAGGCCACGCGCACGAGCGGGGCTGGTCTCGGCGATGTAGGCAGGCGCGGCGTGCATGGCGAAGCCGATGCCCAGGCCGAACAGCGCGCGTGCGGCCAGCACCGCGCCCAGGGAGGGCGCCAGCGCGCCACCCGCCGCGCCGCCGGCGTACAGGCCCGCGGCCAGCAGCAGCTCGCCGCGGCGGCCCAGCCGGTCGCCCACCACAAAGGCGGCGGCGGAGCCCAGCAGCGCGCCGCCCAGTGAGCTGCTCACCACCAGGCCGGTGAGGAGGGGGGAGAGGGCGTACCAGTCCGTCCCACTCAGCGTGGGGCTAGTCATGGACACGATGGCGCCGCTGCTGGCGCCAATGTCGTAGCCGAACAGGAAGCCGCCCAGGGCGGGGAAGAGGAAGAGCAGGGAGGCAAAGGCCCAGTCGGGGTCGGGAAGGGGTTTTGGGGCGTCTGGGCGCCGTGGCACGAGCGGGGCGGTCTCCACGTCGAAGGCCTGGCGCGGCGGCTGCAGGGCGGCAAAGGAGGGTTTCTGATGGAGCAGGGTTGGGAGTTGATTTGCAGGAGCAGGTGCGTTGATTCAGGACATGCCATTGCCACCGTATCCTGAGTCTGGGCCACTCCGTGTGCGGTACATCGGCTGCCATGCAGAGGTTTAGGCGCCTGGGAGGCAGCGCAGTCCTCCCCCCCACACCCCCCTCCCACGCTGGTACGAGCCTACCTCAGGCATGGCCCTGGGCAAGCCGTGCGGGGATCGGGCGGGGGACCTGATCCTGATGGTAGGCCCAGTCATCGCATGCTGCGTTCTGTAGGCAGACGGGGGCCATGCATTTGGTGTGGTCCGTGCGGCAGCCGGGCTAGACCAAGGCAGGGTAACCATATATCCCAGAGTCAGATGCGCGGGGGCAGTACCTCTACATGCCCAAAAGCCGTATGCAATGCCATCGCATGTCCCATTACCCCCATAAGGTTCAGGAACCTACATGCGCGCAGCCCAGGCGGGGGAGGGAGGGCTCCGGCACGGGTCGCGCAGCCGACGGGAGGCGCGGAAGCCGAGGGTGCCGCTACGGTCGAGCCGGGCGCATGTGAATCCCCTTTGCAGGCCAGAGTTTGATATACGTGGGCGATGAATGCCCTGCAGGATTGAGCGCGTCAAGTGATCGGCCCGGCTGGTGGAGCCTGCTGCGGGGACGCACGCCGGTGCATTCATACCGGATGCACCTCGAGGAGAGGGAGGCGCGCCGAGAGCCCAACGGATGCGTTGCAAGGAAGTATCTATGCATGCATCAAAACAGACCGCATGGGGAGCTAAGACATCAGCCTATTCATCGTGTCCGAATTTTCTGGTGGGCATGATGGTGTCCAAGCCACGGTCATGAATCCACTGGATTCCCATCTCTTGATCATTAAAGCACGCGCCGTGAAGGTGACCCCGAGAGACCCAAAGCAAACCATGCTCTGATATCAGTCCAGTGTGCAGTACTCACTCAAGGTTGCGAATCCGAATGCAAATTCCTACTCCTCCAACCTCAAAGTGAAAGGTGGTGACACAGGTGAATGGTGCTCAGTTCTGCACACCGTTTCGCTTAGAATATTATTCAGTGCACCCACTCCACATCCCAGAACGCTCACTCGCTGTTCTTAAGTGCGTGAGGGGCGACAGCGGTGGGAACGAAAATCCTGAGCCTCTTTGCAAGAGTCAATTGAGTTGAACGGCTGATGCAGGCAACCAGGTTCAGACGAGTTTCAGACGTTCAGGGAGGCTTTCGCACCCTCTAGAAGATATCGTAGGTGGAAAAATACATGTCGAAAGCTTTGATGTGCATATATATGTTATTCGGCTGAGAAATGCTCAGTGCAGGGAGAATCATTCCATCAAGACTCTCACGCATTTTGGACTTCCGGTGATACTCCGCACAAAATTCACTTTTGGCATCGCTGCTTCCCGGTACACCGCTGTACTGATCCGAGTACATGGGCCAGTGGTCTACGCCGTGGCGTTTAGGTTTGGCCACCGATTTCCCGTCGGTGACTCCCTCGCAAGAGGGTTCATGAAACCCGCCATCCGAGAGGGCGCAGGTTCGAATCCTGCTGTACTCATCTCGTTTCCTATCCCGGCAGCATGTGGGCTTTTGCAGACCCTACCTTGCTGCTCAAGGATCTCTCACTGCTCTCGCCTCATTGTTGAAAAGAAGCAGGGCCCTGAATCACCGTGCGATTACTCTGCAAACTGTTTCCTTGAACAGCAGATGGCAGGTCAATATCAATGTGGAGGGCTGCACAGGCAGCGGCCAAGCCCTTTTTCGCCTCCACCCTGGAGGAGCGCAGGGGAGGCGCGTCCTCACCGCCCCAGCATGGAAGTGGGCATGGTGCTGTCGAGCTCGGTGCCTCCCAGCATGCAATGCCAGGCGGAGCCCAGTCCCCAAAACTCTCTCCAGGTCTCGGACGGCACAGGCCCTCGCCCGGCCTGGGGGAGACCCAGCGCCGGCGCTCAGAACAGCATCTGCTGCTCCAGGCTGGGGTGAATGCCCTCGCCCATCGCCCCGCCGGGCAGGGGCATGAAGGCGGCCATGGTCCCCGGGTCCAGGGCCCCATCCGCGGCAGTGCAGGGGTCGGGCAGGGGGCGCAGCGACGCGTCCTCCAGCGCGTAGTTGAACATGCCGGCGTAGCCCTTGAGCAGCAGCAGCATGACCTCGGGGGTGGGGACAAAGGCCACCCCCGGCGCGGCGCCAGGCGGCGCGGCCGTCGCGACGCCCGTGCCGGCCGGAGCGCCATCACCCTCCCGCGCGATGGCCGGCGGGGCCGGCGCCGCGCCTGCGATCGGAACGCCGTACCGCCCCTGGACCCCAGCTCCGCCGCCGCCGCCGCTGCCGGCGGCGGAGCACTCACCGGTGCACTCTGCCGCGATGCGCGCGTCGGGGGGGTGCAGACCGCGCAGTGAGACCAGTGCCTGGAGCTGCGCCAGCTGGACTGGGTCTGGAGGCCGCCCGCTCTGCGCTGCCTGGGTATTGGAATGTGGCAAGGGCATTCTGTGCTGTCTTCCCGTTCAAGAGGATGGGGGAGTGGGAGTGGCATGTGCCTCGGCACGACATCCCTTCAACCAGCCCCAAATGGCACTGCTCACGCCCGCTGTGCCATCCTACAAACGCCTGACAATCAAGCCACCCCACCGGCCTTGCCTGTAAGAGGGCGTTGGAGGCGAGCTGCAAGGCCTCCTGCATGACCTGCACATCCCGCTGTCCTAAAGGGGCGCCGGGGACGAGCGGCCGCAGCCCATCCTCCTCCTCGTTGGGCCGTTTCCTTCGACGCTGATTGTGCCGCTGGGAAGGGAGAGGGAGGGAGGAAGGACCTGCTCTCAGTGTACGAGATTTTGCATGGAAATCTCCTGCTCCCCCAGCCACAGCCAGGCCTGTGCAGGGGACGCTGGGCCATACCGCCGGCCGAGCTCCCCTCACACACCTGCAGCCTGACCCGGCAGGAGCGCTTGGTGTCGTCAAAGTCCTCCAGGGGCTGGTACCGCCCGCACTGCTGGCAGAAGCGGGAGCGTACGCCGTTGCGCATGATGCAGTCGACCTTGAGGTGGTACTCGCACACCTTG